CACTATAAGACCCACACTTTAATGTCCCTTTTACCCTGACCCTCAATCAAAGGTCGCCACCCTGGTGGTTTGCTCTGTGATTTTGCCTTTTCTGCCTCAACCAAACCTGTGATTATGAACTGGGTGGAATTGAACCCAAAACCATCTTTCACCACCGTATCCCAGGCTGCTGATGTACAGAGTTCAGAAGACAAATTTAGTGGTTTATGACTGTGTACAATGACCAATCAAAGTTCTTCTTCTTCTTTAATAAAATGCAACAAATCATTCCTATTACAATAAATAATTCAGCGTGCTAAAGTAGGATCCAACTGCAATTTAAAAAACAATAAAAGTCTAATATAAAATGTCCAAACTGCTCAGTGCTGCAGGGAAAGTCAAGACATAATCAAAGTCATCGGGTTTTTATCTTCTCAACTTATGGAAATTTTTCCAATACTGCCTTTGGCTGAAATATAAATATGAGTTATGTGTATGAGATGAGTTAGTAGCAGACGCAGCTGTTTGATCATGTATCGCTTCTTATTATAGGTTCAGAAAAAGTAGGATATAAAATGATGCTGACAGGGCAAAAAAAAAGTGAAAGTTATACATTATTTTATATTAATGTTGACTGTGATTGACTGGTCCAAAAAGACACACACACACACCATCAAGGAGTGTGAGTCACTGGACAAGGCACACAGATGTGGTTTGTAGAAATATGACACACTCACTCCCATTAATGCAGAGAGATCAATGGATTACATTCAGCTCCACATGAAGAAGGTTTAAAGTTGCCCTGCAGCTGTTCTGGTTAACAGTCACTTACTGCCAGGTTCAGACTGCAAGAGAGAAAACAAAGTTTGCTTTTAATTGCCCCTCTAGGGGAATTGTATGTCTAGAAGAATGCTGAAGCCAGTGATGCCTTCCCTGTCATAGTAAAAAAGTTTGGATGCAAACTCTAAGTTTACTAACCCATGTGTTATGATTTTCTTTAAATAAATAGTTGAGTTTCCCTTGAATTAATTTAACCTAATTATTCTCAATTTTTGGTTCATTATTCTCTTTTTCAGCTGCCTCGGAGGTTGTTTTCTCTTTTGATGTGGGCAACGGACCACTGGAGGTAGCAGTGGAGACGAGCGCCCCCCTGAATGACGACCGGTGGCACAGCGTGCGAGTGGAGAGAAACGTCAAAGAGGCGTCGCTCAGTGTCGATGAGTTTCCCACCAGGACGCAGGAAGCTCCCACTGACGGACACATTCATCTCCAGCTCAACAGCCAGTTATTCATAGGTGAGAATCAACAAGGGGGGGGGGGACACAAAAGGGACACAGAAGTATCAGGCAGTTGGATTATTTTAATACTTGGCTAAAATTGTTTATTCTTTCATCCTTGGAGTGAACGAGAGCATTTTAAAAACAGAATCAGTCATTTTTTATTCTCAGAAACATTGATTTGAATAAGCTGCCCTTAAATGTGTGGTTGAACTGTTTCTGCTCATCACAGCTTTTGATTTGCAGTTCTGCTGCGACTTCTCTGATATATTTTCATCTGATGTGAGTCACACTGTATGTCTGACAGCTCATCTGCTAAGTATGAGGAGAAGATGCAAAAAGATGTTGAAACTGAAAAAGCTGTGACACTTTTCATTAACGGAATATTTACATTCATTGAAATTTTGTGCCTCTTATTTTATGACACAATTAATAATGTGCAGCATTCCTGAAAAAAAAGAAGCCTCTCTAATAGACCCAAAGCAGTAAATAGGGAATGACAGCGCTTTTGTCATGAACACAGATCATAAAGTTTGCAGCTCAACCTGAAAACCTAAGAAACGATTCTGAGGACTTTCTCATGTAGACTGTTTTTGCTGTAGCATCTGTGTTTTTGGATTAAGACTTGAAGCAGAGAAGTAAAAAGAAAATAATCATCTCCAGGGTCTTAGGTGCTTTAAAAGGGACTGGTATTACAGTACAGTACAGTACAGTGCAGTACTAGTACATTGAGTACTGATTTGACCTTATAAAAAGTGAGAGATTTTAATGAAACTTATTGAGACACTGAATATAATAATAAGGCTGAGCTGAGAGAGTGGATCACACTGTGTGGGCTAATGTTTGAAGTCCCTAAAGATTATAATGATGAGTGGAATAGATATTTACCGTCACACACACACACACACACCTTCTTGTTCCATGACGTTCACACAGAACAGACTCGTCAGATACTTTTGGTTCACCTTAATGGAACTATGTCTTGATGAAACTCCTTCATTCATTTTTATTTATTTATTTATTTTCAATTGCTGTATTGAGTGTTGCGCTAGTTTTATTACTGAGCTGCTAATAAAGTGTTCTTTGTTGGAAAGTTGCAGTGCAGACAAAGGTCAGGTTTATCTGAAAGTCAATGAAAACACTGAGTTGGACTGGATTTTTTTTCTGCTGGATATTTTTTCCTCACAAGTGAAGAAACTCACTTGTTTCCCCACAGGATTGAATCCTTGTGTGTTATCTAATGCATTTTATATGTGAGTCAGTCAATACTTCCTAAATGTCAATACAATAACCTCCACCGCCCCATTTGTCTTTGTGTCCTCTCTTAAACGACAGGTGCTTTTGTGATGATTGAATTTCCTGCAGTTAAAAAAGTAATGTGATTTTCTCCGTGGACATTTGTGAACCTGAAATAACATTTGAACTTTCCTTTATCCTATCTGCACCTCACCTTTGCCTGATGCGTTGTATTTTTGATAACTTTGAAAGAGCTGCAGCTCACAGACTGTAGTGAGATCTTCCAGGTGAACAATGAAGCTTTTTAAAACTGTCAGTTCTGATTCTACGCTTAAAAAGTGTGTGGGCATGGATGGATCTATATTCTTTATTTAAACCCTATATTTTTCACTGCAGTTGCTCCTCGATGTGGAGTTCAGATAGGGTTATATTCTTTTTCCTCTTTTGACGGTTGTTCTTACTGTTTAGACAAGACCAGAGCAGCTGATGTTCTTCCATCTCACTCTTTTTTTTCCTTATCCTTATTTATTTCTCTGAATCGTTCCTTTTCAAATCACGCACAGACATATGAATCATTACATAAACAGTACGAACATTTGAAAACCAGATCATAACTTTTTCACCTTTTTCACCTTTTTTGTGGGTCATTTGTTTTGTGATTTTTATGCTGCCCTCTCTGACTTCAGGCGCCTTTGTGGTTGGTTTAATAAAACGCAAATACTAGGTAGATTATATATATAACTGGACAAATTCCCAACAACACATGGCAGTTGTTTTTTTTCCCCAAAATATTCCCCAATTATCAAGCTGTGCAAGGACAGTGTCAGGTCTGAGCTCCCAGCTGAACTGACCCGACCTTGTTCTGCAGCCGTGGCAGCCTTCGATGGTCAACCGATTGTTTACTTCAGACAAAACAAGTGTAAATCATCCAGAGTTAGAAAAGAAATCCATGTGACACTTTAAGATAATTAATGACCTTATGTACAGTTTCCCCTGTGCTGCCTGCTGTGTAACTGTACCAAACAAAATCCTTACTAGAACATTCATTTTGCTAAGAAAGAAGGCTCCTAGTTTTTCACTTTCACAAGCGTTTAATATCTATACTTAGAAATAAAAGCTCCACTCTAATATCTTCTGGGTGCTTTCTTCAGGGGTCACCACCAGTTGATCACCTGACTCGGCCTCACCCTATCCATTGTGTCCCAATATTCTACAGTATGCACCTTTATCTCCCTCCTTACCGCATCGCTGACTGTTCTCTGCCTCCCACCAGGCTGCTTCACCTCTGACAGATCCATATCCAGCATATTTATGTACTAACTCTCCTCAACTTGGTGAAAACAATCTCTGCCTTTACTTTCTATCCTCAGATAAGCCTCCTGGCTTTTCAACTGTGCCTGTGTCTCCAAAACAAAATCATCACGGCAGACGGCTCAGAATGTTCTCAGTCATCCAGAAAAATATTCAGTTCTCTGGTTGCTTTGTACTGAACTTTCAGTCATAGCAGATCTCACACTGGAAAAGTCTCAGAGTCTTCATGACTTTCCCACCGCAACATGTTAGGAAGTGTTAGGAAACATTTGTAAAAGAGCACCTTATCAGATATCATGTTTTTGTTTTTTAATTGGACGATTCATTCTGTACAAGTATAAATATTTGGATGACTTTTAAAGACTGGAAAGTCTCTAATTGGGAATTCTGGTTGATTGCAATGATTTTGAACGGTGTAGCTGCTCTGTAGCTGTTGTTAAATGGAGCTTGATATTTGTTTGGAATAGAAGTCACGTTTCATGGACAAACCTGCATCAGCTTATCGTGTATTTCTTGTAAGGTATTTATGCAAACTTATGCAAACTCTGGTTTTTCACAACAGCTGAGTTGCTGAGGCATAAAAAATGTGTCCAAAAAACCTTTGTCATTGACAGGAGGGACTGCATCGAGGCAGAAGGGCTTCCTGGGCTGCATCCGTGCTCTGCAGCTGAACGGCGTCACTCTGGACCTGGAGGAGCGGGCCAAGATCACCCCAGGGGTGAGACCCGGCTGCCCGGGCCACTGCAGCAGCTACGGCGCCCTCTGTCAGAATCAGGGTCGATGTGTTGAGAAGGACAAGGGTTTCTCCTGTGACTGTGGTCAGTCGGCCTACACTGGAGCCTTCTGTCATCAAGGTACAGAGGTTTCTTTTATCTGTTGTTAATGCTGCTGTTCTTGACAAACCTCACGTCACAGCCACTGCAGAGCAGAACATCCTGCCATTCAGATGCCTCTGGTTGTCTAGAATCAAAATCTGGCATTCTTTTGAGGTTTAAGTTTGTTTTGTTTTTTTAAGTAATTGCATATATTTTGCAGGTTTGTGTTTTTATGAATAGACGTGAAACACAAAGTCGAACATCCAAATGAGTCAAAAGCTGAAAAATGTATAAGAAACATTAAACATCACGAAATGGTCGACTGTGGCGAGAAAAATGCGATTTAATATCAAGTAAAAAAAAAGCAACTCTTTTACTTTCTTGTCATATCCAATACCAAAAAAAAAGTAGTGTTCTTTACATTACAAGAAACAAAGCAAAAAACACCCCTACTTTTGAAACAGTTATCACAGAGAACAAAGTCTTAAAACTTTCCTCCAGAAGTGATGAAGACTAGTGGAGGAGGAGTGAAAAACGTGATACTGACTCATTTGTTTCAACACAGTACGTGTCATTTGACATAGGTTAGAGGTGAAAACAAACAGAAAAGCTGACGAGCCGTGTTTTCACAGTCACTTCTATTTTCTTCTGTTTCCCTCCTCTCCTGCTGCACACCAAGAATTTCCGTGGTTTAATGTCTCACTAATCGTCTAATTTGATGCAGAGTCCATGATGACACTCCATAACACTTCTCCAACATTGTCTTGTGGATGCACACATGCTTTTAGCGCTTCAGTGTAGAAAATAGTTGCAAATTATCAGTGACCCTGTGAGAAACAATAGAAATCTAATTTCATATAATGTTTTACAAAACAATTATCTCCTTCACCTCGGTGCTTCAAAGGTCTCATAGACGTTGGAGGAGCATTTTTCTTCAGCCTCATTTTACACTTGACACAGAGAGGACCTTCTCTCAAGGTTAAGCCTTGAGAGCTCTTGACGACTACTTTTTCTCAGCAGTAGTGGTAAACGTCAGCACAAAAATAAATACACTGTCTCTTGCGAAACCACGTGGAAACATCACACCCTTTTGCCTCGAAAAAAACATTGATGTAATTCAAAAAATGATACATTTTTCTGAATGTTACATAGAAGAAGTTTCATCGTGTAGTGAGGTTCCCACTGTTCCATGCAATGAAATCCTGATTTGAAATTGACCTTTGAACTTTCAACGTTCAACCCCAAGGGGAAGGGTACATTTTGTGGATGTTTGTGTACAAGGACATTTACCTCCTTCGAGACTGTTGCAGTGTAGATTCCAGGTGCAACATATGGTTGGTGTAAAACAGCCACTGAACATTTTCTTTAAGTGCTGTAATAGACGCCTGCTGTGATTTCTAACGAGTTCCCAATGAGTTTGGAAAAACTCCTTCAGGCTTCAGATGAGAGATTTCAATACCAGAAGAGGAAACGAGGAAAAAAAGAAAATGAGCTTCTTTGTTTGTTTGCTGCACCGAAAGACACAATAAACTCAAAACAGTGAAAGCAATGACAAGGTGACAGATTTGTACAACAACCACAATGTGCTGATGTACAAAGAACTGCTCGACTACACCCAGAGGATGGAGCTATTCTGAGGAGACAAGTTTACATCTGTTTCTGACAAACTCTGAGGCGTTTTCATCCACTGAAGAATGTTGGTGCCCGTCTCAGATCAGTGTCATGAATATATTTAACTCATTTCAGCACATGTGCCTGTCTATAATTCATACTACGCTGATTTCTCTAATACTCTTCTTACAGAGGTCTCCGCCAGCTTTACGTCGTCAGTGTCCGTGGTTTACATCCTGAAGGAGCCGTACGAACTGAGCAGCAACAGCAGCGTCCGCCCGTCGTCCATCTACTCTGAAATTTCACTGAGAGGAGAAAACATCTCCCTGAGCTTCAGGACCTCACAGAGCCCCGCTCTGCTGCTCTACATCAACTCTTTCTTCAAGGAGTACCTGGCGCTGCTCATCAACAAACATGGTGAGATCACACAAACGTCACGTTTCAACTAGACCTGGAACTTTAAGTACCAGGAACCATTTGTTTCAAAGATTCCAGACAGACAGTCTAGAAATATTCAATAACCAAATCAGTATTTGGTCGTCACTCTGCTAGTGCCAGGTACTGACCCTGTATGTGGTACATACTCTGCATCTAAGCTGTAGTTTTTCCTGCTTTTAGTAGTACCAAGTACTGATACTTCATAAATCAGTCTCTTAATCCTGGTAGATCTGTGTATGAAGATATACACAGATCACGGTACTATCCCTAACACAGTTCATGCTGGTTGTTTTTCATAATCTAGTAATAGTTACTAGTACTGTTCTAATATCCTAGAAAAGGTTTCATTGGTGGGAAAACTTTCTAGAACTTTCATAGTTTTAAAGTTCTGGCTTCTATAATACTAATGCACATCATTCTCAGTACATTTCTAGTTCCCAGTGCTTCATTCTGCAGTGGAAATACACACACACATTGTAAATGATTTGCTGGTTCTGTCCCTGGGTTCTGGTGCAGTCCTTGCAGAGAAAACAATGGAAATTGTGTTGGTTTTTTTTTTTTCTTACACGCTTTAAATTTCATCCTCGTCTTTTCTGCGGTTTGTTTTGCTTCAACTGTCTTCTCCCCTCACTCCATTTCCTGCTCCTTCTGTAATCAGTGCGTTTCAGGCTGCTGACAACATCTGCACTTATTATGTCAAGTGCAGTATCCAAGAAAACAGTTAGTGAAGTATTCATGATAATTCTACTCCATACTTTCCACAATGTGCTGCTGCTTTATGACTGTTATCGTTGTTATTTTCATCTTCTGCAGCAGCGTAGAGCTTTTCACTGCTCCAGCAGGCACCGAGTAATTCAAACATGCCTTTCTAAGACTTGAGTTCTGCGTATGTGTAAACTACAGTACAAGAAAGTAAAAGACAACATTAAATTTGAAAGAAGTTTGTTATTTAAGATGTCAATGTCAATTAAAAATGTATTAAAATAAAACATATTTACAAATTAAATTTATGTTAATGATAAGCTTTAAGTAAAAATTAAAAAAATCCATTTAAAAAATATCCTACATGCACTGCTGGTACATTAAGGAAAAAGCTGAGGATTATGGGTAACTGATGAAGCCGTCATCAGGTATCAGCACTCTTGCTGGAGTATCTAATTAAATCCCAGAGAGTTTTCACTCAGGCGCTCCAAAAACACTTCTTTCGTGTTTCTCTCCTTTGTTGCTGCAGTGACAAAAGCCCTCACTGCTGCACACATTTAAGTATCTCAGCCTCTCGCTGTGAGTCTGAAACAGCCGGTGCCCTCCGTCTGACTGCTTCTTATGAACAGGATGTAATCTTCTCAGTCGGCTTTTACACTTCATTAGCATGTTTTTGCGGAAAAGTCAGCCCAAAGGTGACGCCTTGAAGAACTGATGTTTTTTTAACATGATGAATTTTACCCATCTGTAATATCTGTCTGTAGAATATTCTACTTCCTAAAAGATGAAGTCATACATTACCCACAGATATCACATCAGGAGTTGTAGATACTGCAGGCCTGGCTTCTTCATTAAAGTTGATTTAAAACACTGTATTTTTCATCAAACCCACATTCCAATTGAATACAAAAAAAAATATCCAAAAAAGAATATATTGTAATTGAAAGTCCTTTGCCTCCTTTGTATTTACACCCTGTGACAATGAAAACAGATACTGTATGCTGCTTTAAAAAGCCTGTTTTAAAGAGTTGCTACTGTAAATTTTATCTAACGTAACTAAATACTTGTTCAAGATGCTTTTATTCATCCAGAGGTTTACATTGGGACTGACTCTTTATTTTGGCTCTTTTCTGCAAAGATGAATTGGAACTGAGGTACAAGTTACACAGCAGCAGAGACGTGGAGGTGCTGGGCAGCAGAGTTAGCAACCTGGCTGATGGACGTCTGCACACAGTGACCATCTGGAGGCTGGCAGATGCCGTGTCCGTGCAGGTAAACACATGCAACAAATAATGTCGTTGTACAGCATTTCACCCAGGTCTACTGAAGTCACGTATTTAGTTTTGTTGCTTCTATTTACAGCTGCACTTACTTTCCACCTTTAAGTGCGGTGAGGAAAATGTGTTTTAGTTGAGTTACCTTCAAGGATACTGCTTAGCTTTCAGTATATTTAAATTTTCTTTTAAAAAAGTGATTCTTTATTGTTTCCGAGGTAGCAACAGTTATTGTTTAAGTTGAGTTCCCTCGGCTGCTGTCACTGCATGAAGAATTATGAAAACAAACCTTAGTTGCTGAGTTGTCGTTGTCATCTGTCATTTTATGTCCTTTCCTATTGGTTAATAAATCATTTGACTAAAACCGAGTGCCAGAGGTTTTAAGATAAATGATGCTGGAGCAGCTTTTTGCCAATTGTTTTTCAACCTCTTAGTTCACTGTTATCTTTAAAGTGTCTTTCCCCGAGACTGTCTTTCACACACTCCTGCTGCACCACAGCTTCATACAACCTGACACGGAATATTTTGATACAGTAAGAATTTGCTACTAAACTAAAAGCAGATCCTCTTATGAAACTTTTAAATGTCACTGCTCACTTCTGTCTTTATTGACCTTTGCTGTTCAACTTTTTCATCTCTTTCTTCATAAAAAAAATAAAATAAAAATCTCCCATGCATTAATCCCTAGATCGACCAGAACGCCAGAGAGGACTTCAACCTGACATCTGATGTTGAATTCAACAGCGTCAAGTCACTTATTCTGGGCAGAGTGCAGAGTAAGTGAAATGCCGACTGAGACATTTTCAACTGAATCACTTAAATCAGAGCAACATGATGTTTGGCCTCAAACAGCTGAACGAATGCTTGAGGTTTTGTGCTGACTGGACCTGATGGACAACATGTCAGTCCAACAGCTGGGAAGCTTTTAAAAACAGACACACTTTCACAATTATATTGTCAAAATGTGAGCACTTAACTGTGGCAAAAATAATTATGTCCATCAGATTGGTTTTGGACCGTGTGGTTGGGTGACTGTGTGTTTCTCGCTAATGCATTGAGTTCAAAGACTTCAGCAAATGTCGCTGAACTGTTGTCTGTGTTATCTAAAGCGATGACTAATACTGATGCTGCGTCAGCTTCAGGCAACTGTTCTGAGAGAGATCGAAAAGAACAAATTACTTGCCCTAATTTTCAACATAAGAACCAATAAGTTCTCAGCTGCTGATCAATACCGGTCAATACTGTATAAAACCCCTGATCCAGAAGGTATAGTTCAACCTGACTGGCTGAGCTGTAGTATAAAAAGTCTTGGTACTCTTTTTTTATTATTATTCAACTGGAGGCATGAAGGCCATAGGTTATCAACTAGAATATATTTACATCAACAAAAAGATCGTTTTTTGTGGTAAAAATATTATTATTATTAATCAAAGGTAGCTGTGGATTAATCACGATTAATTGCATTTAGTCAAATAAATGAGTTTGATTTTGACAAAATACTGTTTGTATATTGCCTGAGCAGAGAGACAAATAAACAGATCAGTTTTGATTGATGACTAATCTAAATTATGGGATTATTAACATGATAAAATGTTAGGACAAATATAATAATTCTCACAGCGTGTATAAATAACATCATGTGTTGACCAATCGGCAGTGTAATTACTTGATATATAGCAGCTGTCAATGTGACTGTGCTTCAAAATGTTAAAAAAAATTAATTATTTAAATAAAAAAAAGAATAATGACCTAAATTAAGTACTGTGATTAACTTGTTTATTTTAACATTCCTAGAAAATAACAACTCTAATGAAAGCAAAGAGAAAAACTTTGTTTCCCCTGTTTCGACCCCCGACCCCGGAATTACTAAAAATTACATTTTTACTCTCTTCTCGGGGCAGCTCATTTGTCTTGTGTCGTGAACTCATTTTTATTTCAGTACAATCTCACTCACTTTGTTTGCTTCCCTTCCCACTGACACACAGATTAGTGCTCTGCTCACAGAGGCAGCAACAAACAAATGACAACTGTTAGTGATGTGTTAGCCTGGTTGTGAGCAGTGGCAGTTAAAACATATGGAGGTGGGTTTAATATAACTGTTCCAAAGTGGAACATTTAAATTAGAGCAGGATAACGACTGAGCTACAGTACAGACTACAGGTCCTGATAGAAATGTTTGCCCTGGATTTAAAGTTCCTTATAAACCTGCACACAGTTACAGTTAGTTTTCACAATTGAATTGAGGCTTTGTGCTTTTTTTTTTTTTGGATGACCCCAGCCGTGTTAGTGTTCTCACCTTTCCTCCGAGTCAGAGAACTCTGGGAATCGTATCAGTATCAGAATCAGAGATGCTGCAAGATAGTTGATACGCTGTCACTCCCTGCCAGCCCTGTCATCCATCAGTCTGACTAATGGAGCAGGAAAGAAAGAAGAGAGTGTGATGCTCACAGAGAGAGGGAGAGGAGGAGACAGGCACAGAGAGAGACACTGTGAGGGGGAGGAGAGGAGAGAAAATTATGCTCAGAGATGAAGGTAAAGGGCAGGAGCTCGGAGGAGCTGCACAGCGATCTACAGTTCACTGATGCAAGGTCGGGTCAGTCAGAGCTCAGGGAAACATTTTCAGTTGCCTCTTCTTTTATTCAGGTTTGGAATACAGAAATATATAAGTTCTTTCTCTTTATAAAGAACAGTAAAAGGAAAAGGAAACCGCTGTCACAGGATAACTAGGTCCTGTGTCCGGAGACTAAATTTAATCCGATTTTAGAGTCAAATTAATTTGTGCCTGATCAGGCCTGAACCATGAAGTCTGCATTAATGCAGTGTCACATTTGTGTCCTGAGGCTGCGCCACAGTCTGGGCCTGAGTCCTCAGAGGGTTGGACCTATAATTGGAGTCCTGTGGTCCGAGCAGGACTTTGGGTTTGTTAAACAAGCAGCAAAACTCTTTGGCTTCCCAGTTCACTTAGAAATGTGTGTCTGGTGTTATTGACACCACAGTGGTTCACCGAGTGATTTCCCTGTAGGCTTTATTAGATCACTGAATGTTAATAATGTACAAGTATAAAGCATTAACTAAGATGACCTCAGACTAAAAAGTCAGGATTCATAAAAAAAGTCTAATTAAATTAGAGTTTAAATAAACCGGTCTAGACTTCAAGAGGACAGTGATGTGATCCACAGCTTCTGTGCTTCAGCTCTAAAAGATCAATCTGACGGCCTCTGACCTGCTAACCTCAGGCTCCGGCCACGTCAGATACTGTAGAAAAGTTGGTACTTGGTAGTTTAGAGCTCTGGATGTAGGAACTACACTATGGCACGGGGGAACAGTGGGTCTTGCGGCAGAATAATAGACATCCTGGTCAGGGTAACAAGGAAAGATTCCACCTGCCTCTGCTGAGGCCCCAGGTTTCATCAACCACTGTTCCATTGAAGTCAAATGTCGTGTTCATTTCAGTGAAACTCATTAGATGCGGCGGCACTCCCCTGACAACGATGACTTTGTTTCTGTTTTCAGAGCCAGATGAGTTGGATGCAGAGCTGGTGGGTTTGGCCTCTGTGGGCTTCACCGGTTGTCTGTCAGCCATTCGATTTAACTCCATCGCTCCTCTGAAAGCCGCCCTACTGCCCACCGACAGCCGAGTCACCGTCACAGGTCCCCTGGTCCAGTCCAACTGTGGGTCCACGTCTCCAGCCAGGCCGTACACAACAGCAACCACGCACTCCTTATCAGGTACAGAGGGACTGAGACTGAGCTCTCTTCACCGCCTGCTGCACTGCATATCATCAGGAAGCTCCTCGTTCCTCTTCCCCTGTAGGAACCTCCCTGTTATACCGTTAATATTATTTTAAGGGCTTTTGAATAGACAGTTTTATGGGCCTCATTAAGTGTCTTCCTGGATAAGCGGAGAGAGTGATGATGGTGAGAAGGACGAGGTTAGTCTGACAACTGCTTCAAACAGGCCGTGTCTGAGTTGACTGATGATCGTCGCTCCGTCTCTTCCTCGCTCATCGTCTGTCTGCTCTCCTTCACCTCCTCTTTATTCTGTTTAATTCCTGTGTGTTAGCAGTAGGCGTGACTGCAGCTGTTGTGTTTCCAGGTTGTAGATCCATCTGTCCCACCCATATTAATGGATTTTTGCAGTAGTACCGATTGAAACATTTGCTCAGACTTCATGAGAAACTGTAGCGTTTTGTTTTGTTTTTTTCGGTCAAGGCTCAAGGTTACAGTGTGTGTAGAGTCCTGAAAAACATTAACACTCCTCAATAGATGTGTTGTGTTTGAAGGTAATAAGTTCATTTTTGCCTTACTTTCTAATCTTCCCACAGCTTCAGTTTAGTTCTACCTTTAACTTTCTTTTGTTTTGTCCCTCTCTGTTTTTCCCCCCTCTTTTATAGATCAGCCTGGCTCAGCAGATTCAGGCCAGCCTCTCGTCAATGCTATCAGAAGTGACTCTGCTCTAATTGGAGGTAATGTAGGAGGTGGAATGAATAATTTAATATCATAATGTTTGCTTTGCAGCAATAGAAACACGTTTCATTTTTAATGGGTCACATGGAAAACTCGACAAAAAAAACCTAATTGAAATGACAGATTGATAATTACTGCATGGTTTCAGGTCATACGCAGGTGGACAAAGCTGTGCAGAAGAGATCAATTTCTCTGATTATTGTTACTCAAAAAAATAAGAATTTTCAAATTATTTGCATTGTTTGGCTAATTTTCCTTGTCGTCTTTTCATACCCACCAGTAAACCTCATTAGCATGATTAGCTCTGTTGCGGCAAAAGAAATAAAATAATAAATTTGTTTGATCAACAGAAATGCATTTAAATGAACACAGACCATCGTATAATATATTTTTTATCTATTTTCATTTTTACTGCAGTTATATAATGCTGTCTTATAAAGTCAAAGAGGGAATAAGAAGTTAAAATATCACATACTGAGTCTGACTTCACTGTGTCTGTCGCTGACTGGGACTGTTACTCGCAATCTTGAGAACTCAACTTGACTTTCTTTTTCTTTTTTCATTTAAAGTGAGAGAGAGAAATAAATCTAGTGCAGATGTCTGTGTTCTTTTAAATGCATGAAAACATCAGTTACACCAGGGATGTTTGGACATCTTAAAGTTTGAAGACGATGTAAAGGTCGTTTAGAAGATGTGTTTCTGCAGAATGTTTGCGGCAGAAAGAAAATGTGGACGAGATGGCAGACAATGTAACGTCAGCCGTTGTGGCGCTATTTGTCATGTGCTATTTTGATTTAGATGAAAATGTCAGCAAGGCGGAGACTGAACAAACATTCATTGTTCCAGAACAGCACACATGTGTCAGCGCCACGTGTTATTGGAGGCAGTAATAATCAGACTATAACGAACTGAAATAGTCATAATTTAATCGTCTGATGTTTTTTTTTTCTTTATGCTAATGTCATTAAGAGTTCGCTGCTGTTGGATGGGTTTGGTAACTGTTTAGTCGTGTGAGCACAACAAAGCACAGATGCAGATTTGTATTTGTGCAGTGTCTCTGAAGCGTGGATGCGGTTTATTTTAGGCAGGCTTTAACGTGTATCGCATACAGTTTTTTAATGTCTTCATTAAAGCTTTATTATGATTTTTTTCCTCCAATGGTTTCAGTCTGAAAAAAAAATCAGTAATAATGGACAAAAATGATCAACAAGTTTTCTGTTGGAACGTTTACATTTACTATCCAAGCAGTGGTCCGTGGGCCACACGTAGACCAGACACAATCTGAGAGAAGCGCAGTCTGCAGTCATTTAAGCTACAGAGAGAAAGTGTGAAAACATGGTGATTAAAGATGAATTTCTGCAGTAGAACGGATCACGGAGGTGACACTCTCTGTAGCCTAGCAACATGCTACCTCCACTGATTCTCTTGTGTGTTATCGTCCCTCTGAAGCCGAAAAGTGAAATTGCATTAAATGACATTATTAATATATTACTTTTTTGCTGAGAGCAATGCATTTGCAATGTGTTCATATATTGTTGCCCATATTTTGTAGACTTGATTGTTAGCTGTAAAAATGTCAAATAATTTTAAACATGATTTTACAGAGATATATGACATTCTTAAAGGGCAACTTTCAAAAACTCCCTCTGTGTTCACTTCCTTCTCCTTCATTCACAGCAAATGTAACATTGTCCTCCTTTCTGTAGGTTTGATTGCCGTGCTGATATTCATAACCGTGTCCGCGTTGGCGATCACGGCCAGGGTCTTTTGGACTAAAAAAGAGACGTATCGAAATCAGGATGTGAAAGCGTCTCAGCCAGACGAAGGTCAGGAGTTTCCCTTCAGCAGCCAGGCAGACTCTCAGAGCACTCCCTGTGAAAACCAGAAGGAATATTTCATCTAGAGGGAGCGCTGTGGAAAACAGGGGAGAATCTCACTGGCCACAGTCACTGGGACCAGTGCATGGACACAACGTGAAGTGAGAACCTGAACATTTTGTGTTTTTTCTTTATGACGCTGTGTCTGTACATATCTGACAAAAATGTTAAACGTGAACTTGCAGGATGTAAAATAATTTTACCTTTAAATTTGACAAATGTAAATTCCAATTTGTCTCCTTCAATCCCTGAAATGTTACAAATCATTTACTAAAAGTAAAAAAAGAGATCACGACCAGAAAACAATTTTGTCCCAATTGAAATTGACCCAGAACTTTATTTATAAGCAGCAGCATTTTTTTTCTAGAAGGATAATCAGAGATGGCTTGAATTTTGTCTCAGACTCAACGAACCTGAGCCAAGACTGACAAACCAGGACATTCCATGGTCGGTGTTGAATATAAAATTTGACAGAGTCAAATAACTGACAAAGGCCATCTTGTGTACAGACTGTCTATACAACATGTGTTGAGCGCTGCATGGCTGAGATGACCTTAAAAATGCAGTCAAATATCTGACAGCCGTTTTCTTATCCAGACATTTTCTCTTAAACCCACATCAGTTTAAGCCTGGCCGCTAAAGTGAAGGAAGCAGAAAACACAAATTTAATTTAAAAAAAAACAAAGGCTAGAGTGAGATTTAAATTATGAAATGAAAGGCAGTTAAGTAAATGATAATATCTGGTGTTTATTTCTAATTTCTCTGTGATTCTTGAGCAGCTGAGTGGGATTTAGAGACAGATGGTGGAAAAAAAAATAGAAAAGTGTATTTTGCTTTCACTTCACTCTGCCACTACGTGGAATATTTTACCTCACTGCAGGAGATTTGAAGCTTTATGTTTTGTTTTCTGTGCTCTTTCTTCTCCCTCCTCTCCATCCTATACATAATAATAGAATTCTTCAAGCATTTACATGAACGTCTTTGAATTCTGCACCTGCTGTCGAGGTAATTCACACTTTTACATACATTACAAAGTCAAGACGGGGGCTTTTATATACAGGTATAGCAGTTGAATTCTAGGATTAGTCACAGCCAGGAACAAAAGCCAAACAAATCCTACTGTTTGAATGGACGAAAGCTGTCAATCAAATGAGACATATGAACGTTGTAAAACGACATGAAATAATACTTTTACAATTATGTTTGGGTGCATTTGAAATGAACACAGACAAAAGGCCTGAGAGGAACTGGTTAAAATGTTAACTCAATTTAACCAGTGGCTTTATTTATTTATTTATTTATTTTACATGACATTTAAATTATGTTTTCCTGTAAATCAGTTAATCATGTCTTTTAATTTTAGGTTAAAATTGCAGTAACAGTAATGTTTTATCTAAATTAAATTAGTAATTGTTCTAATTGAAAATCACACACAAAACAACAGTTTTGACTTAAGATTTATTTTTATTCACCACCCCAAAAATAAAAAAAAATTTAAAAAAATTGGGACCAATTTTCACCTATGAGGCTTTTTAGCCTGGCTAGTGACTCTAGTAAAGTCTAATATAAAAATCTTCAGTAATGATGGGCCGTTACAATAACAGCTGTAATTTACCCCTGCACCACCATTTGGACACACCTACACCATTTAAGGTTTTTTTTTTCTTTCCAGATGGTTTTGTTGAAAAATAAGACATTTTCCTGATCGTATTTTATTCAGAAACTTTCTGCTTTTTTTTTCTTAAATGACACAACAGAAGGGTAAGAATGAATTCATTCAATAAGCGCAGATTTACAAAGCTTTGCTATGAAAGTCCGACCAGCTGCTTTACTGCTCGGCCTCATCTGTGTATTCATGAGCTTAATGTGAGCCAACTGTTGAATGGATTTGCAAATGTGGAATTCTGCTGAATCAAAACAAAGTAGCATTTCTTCAGGTCGAATAAAGTAATTAATGAGTCCGCAGAGATGTTTCTCTTGTTACACTTGGCAGCAGATTTAACGGTTTGCATATTTCAGTAAATTTCCTTTTGGGCACAACTGTGGAATGAAGATAATATTTATAATGTGCAAAAAAAAGAAAAAATCAGCTTTCAACAGGGACAAAAGCTCCTTTGTTTTTATCTACGAGTGTTTGCTCCGTGCTGGAGTTTCTGTGGCGACAGCTCACTTTAGAACAGTGTAATTGTGTTCTTTATTCCTGTTGGTGTGGTGCATTCACCTTAACTCACGACTGATGGTCTTGATGTAAACGCTCATGGACTGGGGTGAAATCTAAATGATGTTTTAGACTGTGGAAAATAATTAGTGCAGCAGAGGATGTGAAAAAAAATGAGATCAAGTCTTTGTTTCCCTGTTAAATGAAGCTGAAATGCTGAAGCACTTTTTCTTCTCGGAAACAAATTAAATTACCATAAATTAACATCAGTGATTTTTGTTCCTTTCTAACGTTAAGTTTGTCTTTGTGCGCCGCTTGACGTTATTAATGGCATTGATATGTTTCCGTCGGCGGAGCGCTGATGAAGACGGCTGAATAAATGAGTCAAAGCAAAGCGTCCAGGAAATAGAAATGTCAGTAATTCTTTATAATGAGGAAAACCCTGACACTTGTCAAAAGCTGACAGTTAAAGACCTGCAGATTCAGAGGCACGCACAGATTTCCAGCTGAAGAATGTGTGGCAGTCATTGCTAACGATGTCACAAATCCAATCAGCAGTTAACTAACTTTAGTACTAAAATGTATTCAAACCGTAACTTTCCAGCAGAGGGGAAGCCATTGATTGCAGCATGTTGTTAGTTCATCACCAAGGAATTATACTCCCTTCTGTAATCTTGTTAGAACAGCAAGAAAATTTAGAATCAGACTGTTTTCAACTTTCTCTACGACAGTAAATCAAATTAGCAGCTTTTTTTCACCGCAGCATCATTCAGTTAGTGAGTGTGAGCGTGTTTAACTACATCTCCAACACTTCAGTAATATCAGCAGGATGACGACCAGGAATGAAGTCATTAGAAAATCAGTGCCTGAATATCAAACCGTTATTGTCTCCAACAAAGTTAGTCCATTTTTTTTTTTTTTTTTACTAAAACACATTTCTAAGTGCAGCTTCTGATTAAAAATTAGACTTTTTAACTAATGCAGCCACATTTTGAACAGATTCATAATTTGTATGCAGTATGTACTTGGATGGGCCTCAAAACAGAAGGGTGGCAGGTTCAATTCCCTCTAAGCCAGAAGATGATAAGTGTGTTACTTTGATACCTGGTCGTTCTGTATGGAGTTTAGATGTTCTCCCCTGTGTGAGCGTGTTCTGTTGTCTCTGCATGTGGTCCTGTGGTACAGTGGACCACCGCTGCCTGCTGAAGGCTGGGATTGGCTCTGGTTTCCACCACATACTAGCAAGGGTTTAAGCTGTAAAAGAAAAATGAATCAATCCATCGATCAATTCAGACATGTTAATGTGCCACGGTGGATATTCTGCCTCAGGTTATTTAAATGACTGCTGTAGAATTTGCTTTGAGAATGACCCTCTCTATAATGCAGTTCACGTTGTAGCTACTGAACATGTTGCTGTGATGTTTGACAACACATGAGTTGGTTGAGTGAGTTGGTTTTACTTTGGTCCAAACTAAGTTTTCCTCCGACACTGAGGTATGGAGGTAATACAATTAAACCAAATGACTCATGCAGCAGTGGATGAACTTGTTCTACAGCTCAATAAAGCTGTTACTCTCTTCTTCACGTGGCTTCACTCGGCCTCTGTGTTTGTACACCATTTGAGGAAACAGTTGTGATGTGACAGCAGACGAGAGGCGGAACAGAGTAGTCCAATCTAATCAGGCTTTAATTCTAGTCCATACTGAAGCTTTCTGGAGATACTGAACAACTGGGAACTAGTTTAAGAGAAGAAGGCAAAAAAAACTGAAAATATAGGGCTGGCAAACAACAGGACCAGTGAAGCTTGAAAAACCCGGTGGCCAATGTGATTCAAAATGTCGTATAAATATGCTCGGCGTGGAATAAAGAAAACTAAGTTGTTCTTCGCTCAGCTGACGATCATGCAGCAGTAATCAGAGAGAGAGAGAGGGAACAGTCAGGTGGACGCAGCAGTGGTTCACCGCTGCTCCCTGCTGCTGTCTAGAGGTGGGCTGCATAATTACCACTGGCCTGGTGTCTGATTAGTGAAGTGATGAGACTGTGGTGACATGAGGCAGCCACAGCATCACCACCCACTTGGTTAGATATGACAGAGCGCCCATCTGTTATCACCTTGTATTCATCATAATTGCCGTCCAAAAAAGGATCTGAAAGGGTTTTTTTAAACAGAAGAAACTATTGCTGCACACTTGAAATTTGAGACAGTCTGAAAAGTGAGGAATTTGAATCAGTATTTTTATCAGTGCAAAATCTTTGTTGAAAACAAAAGTATTTTAGGAGCAACTGTGAGAGACAGTATTTAAGAAATGGACTAAGAATCAGACAATCTGACAGGAAAATGTGGCTGTATGACAAAAACGTTTGAATAAAAATCTATTTTACTTGAAATATAAAAACTTTTTTTTCGACACTCAAATATTATCCTTTCCAAGCCCTGTGATTAATTATATTATTATGTTTGGAGATATTTTTAACTATAGCCAATGGAAGATGATTTTCTCGATGGATTTTGATTTATTTCCAGACACATCATATCATTGTATATATATATATATATATATATATATATATATATGTAGACGATACTGTGCTGTTCTGAATCCTTTTGAAAAGAGCAAAAAAGGAAGGAAGATAAATATTTAGGGAATTTGGTTGATGTGTGTTTACAACGTAATCATTTCCATTTGTGGACAGCTGTCATTAACCCACAACTTCTATCCTCTCTGTGTTATATACAGTATTATATTCCCTCTTAAATATATCAATTACCACCATTGCACCGTTAAAGGTGTCGTTATACTTTCATCGCCATTTTTTTTAGCATCACCTCATCGCCTGGTGTCCACAGCAGACAGGTGTGGGTGTTTGAAGTAGAGGGGTTAAAAGCAGAGGTGCGTGTTTGGAAC